AGATAATACATCCTTTGAATTGACATGACGATTTAGGTCTTCTATTTCTTCAGCGAATGCATCTTGTTGTGCCCACTTTATGATGGTCATCACTGCTTTCTGTCTAGCTTTTTGTGGTGAAATAGTAGTCTGCCTAAGCTTCCTGGAAATTTATTGATGTAATACAGCAATTGCAGTTACTGCCTTAGCTTGAACTAGTCTGAGAAGCACTCCAAATGATGCAGCATTGGTGAAGTAACTACGGTAGTAGCCAACACCTTTTCAGTTTTCAGTTCCGGATCATATTCTTGTAGATCTATGTTCATATTGCCAAAAGATGGTAGTTCTTCATTCCATAAAAAGGCTGGACCGGTGACCCAGTTTGACTTCTGCAAGCCTGCCACATCTAGGCCACGGGATGCATGATCTGCAGGGTTTTCTGCACTGGGAATGTAGTGCCACTGCTCAGCTACAGGAGCATCTTTAATTCTCTGTATGCGATTTGCCACATATATATGGAAGCGACGTGCATCATTTCCGATATAACCAAGTACTACCTTTGAGTCTGTCCAGTAGAAATTGTCTATGTTTTCATAGTCTAATTCTTTTTTTTAGGAAGTTGCTGACTTTAATGGAAGTAACTGCAGCTTGAAGTTCCAACCTGGGAACAGTCACTGGTTTCAGAGGAGTGACTCTTGCTTTTCCTAAGATAAGGGAGCAATGTATGTTACTATGAACATCAACTAATCTCAGATAGGAACCTTGTCCATATCCTGTAAGACTAGCATCTGAAAATGGTGCAGCTCAACTTTCTTCAAGTCTTCAAAACTTTCTGGTTTGTAGCATCTCCTGATTTTGAGATCAGCCAACTTAGGAATTTCAGAAAGCCATGATTCCCATTTTGTACTAAGATTATCTGGTAGGGGTTCATCCCATTCCATACCCTTCTTGCACATCTCCTGTAAAATACATTTACCACACAAGACAAGTGGTGCAAGAAATCCAAGTGGATCAAATATCGAAGCCACAGTTGACAGGATACCACGACGTGTAGGGGAATGATTTCTAATGGCTGGTCTGAACTGAAAGGAATCTGATTCTCCACACCATTCAACACCGAGGGCTCTTTCTACTGGTAGGTCACTGGAAGAAAGATCTAAGTCCTTGATGCCTTGTGCTTGCTCTGAGATAGGTATCGATTCCATAGTATTCCTGCTATTGGAAACAAATTTGTGCAGACGAAGATTCCCTTCTGCACAAAGATCACGAACATCTTGAATGAGTTTAACAGCTTTAAACACTGATTCAACACTTTGCAGGCCATCATCTACATAAAAATTCCTGTTAACGAAGTAGACTACATCACTACCATACTGTTGATTATCTTTAGCTATACGTTTAAGACCATAATTCGCACACCCCGGTGAAGACACTGCACCAAAGAGATGTACTCTCATCTTGTATACAACTGGGTCAGAATCTATATCGTCATTCTTCCACCAAAGAAATCGAAGAAAATCTCTATCCTGCTCTGCTACTCTGAATCTATGGAACATTCTCTCGATATCACACATGATAGCAATCTTCTCCTTCCGGAAGCGACAAAGAACACCAACAAGAGAATTTATTTGGTCTGGACCTTGCAATAAATGGTCATTTAGGCTTGTTCCTTTGTATCTGACACTACAGTCAAATACAACACGTATTTTACCAGGTTTTTTGGGGTGGTAGACTCCATGGTGAGGTATGTACCAGACATGTCCGAATTCTTCTTCTTGTTTCTCAACTAATTCTGCATCGCCCGCTGAAATGATGCTCTGCATGAACACTTTATAGTCATTTAAGTACTTAGGATCACTCTTAAATCGACGCCGAAGGTACTGCAAGCGATTCTCTGCCATAATCTTGTTGTCTGGCAATTTAGGTTTATCATGTTTAAACGGGAGTGACATTGTATAAAGCCCATCATCTTCCTTGTGAATACCATTCTCAATAATCTTCATGAACCGGAAATCTTCCTGAGACATAAACACATCATCAGTTCTGGTTTCATTAAAATCAGATTCAAGTAATTTCACTACATCCAAAGGACTGACAATCTGTTCTTTTGTTGAAGTCTTGAAAGCATAGCAAATCTCTGATGGTGTATACTGCTTTTCATAAGAGTTATGTGCATCCCCAGTACTATTAATGCTGAGTACCAAGTTGTCTGGTATTACCTTGGTAAGTATTCTATGGGAAACACCGAAAATATTTTCACTCTCTTCTGCCTGTGTCATCTGCCCAACTATGCTCCATCCCAGGTCTGTTTCTATGGCGAATGGTTGATTTCCCACTCCTGTGATGCAGTTACGAGGTGCAATGGCTTGGGGACAATCATAACCGATTAATAGACCTACTTCACACTTCTGTATGGGATGTATCCTATGAGCGAGTTGGTGGAGATGAGGCCATTTTTCTGTAATCTCAGGAGTTGGTATATGCGATTTGTTGACTGGAATGTACTCTAACGAGTATGCAGTTGGTAGTGTAACCATTACATCAGAATCAAATCCACGAACACTGAGATTGGGATACTTTCTGCAGGGAATAACACGATCACTTGAAGTCATGGTTGTTAAACGAAGACTAACTGGATCTGACTTTGTTTTGAGCTGCTCTGCAGCATGATTCAATACAAATGTAGTATCAGACTGTGTATCAAGTAGTGCATATACTAACATCTCTTCACTAGGATCTTCTTTGCTGGAGATCCATACAGGCACAATCATGGATGAAAGTGATTTGTCACGCTTGCGAACTATGCCCTGACAACCAGCATCTTTCACATGTATATTGGTCCTTTCTTTGAGATCTTGATCTATTGTTCTGTTGGGATCCGTAGTTTCACTGTGAGATGATCTTGGTACTTTTCTTAGAATGTTGGAAGAGCATCGCGAAACAAACAGATCGAATAGCTTCACCTTCGCGGTGGTGTGCCATTATGCATAGAAAATAGTTCCTTTTTGTTTCATGAATTTTATGCATTTGTAGACTCCTTGTTGTGTTTGGGGTCTTTTATTGATAGTAATAATTATTTTGTGTTGTATTTTGAATACTTTTACTCATTACTTATTTGATCTTTCTAAGTGACTTGCCCTATTGTATCCATTCGCCTTTTTGCCGTTTTGTTGATACATACTAGACATGAAAGCTGTTTTCTGTTATGTCACTGTGAATTTCGGATACTTTCGATTATCCCAAGGCTTTACAGGTCGCCAATGAGGTAACTATGTGCCCATAATGTATCCGTTGCATTTACACTATTTTTGCCTTCTTTTTGTTCAAGATTTATCTTGTTATCAAGTTTTTTAGATGTTTTGAGTAGATCGGAAAAACGATCATTTGTTACTATTATTCGACATACCTAGCATATCGTTACTATAAATTTAATTGTGTTGCTACGTTATTGTTATTTGTATTTATCTGTATTTTTCAGTTTTTACGGAGCTTAAGATTGTGAATACGATGTTCATGAATGTGCTTGGTCTTACATTACGGATCGTTCGCTGTATAGTGTTAAGCAGACCTGCACTGTTGCTTGAATAAATCACATCTCCAGTATATGAAACTCTTGTAGACTTGTCACTTTAAGGTAAAGCTCTTGGTGATACAGTAAAAACTCAGATCTTTGTGGCGTGTCTCCAAGCTGTGTTGAAGACATTTGATGCCTTTCCAGGAAACCCCACTGTAGTTATTCACTGGTGCTGTGCATTACTGCTGTTCAAGTCAACATTAAGCTGAAGTTGTCAAGAGCAGATGAATTCAAGACCGATGTTGGAAAGCTGGTAATTGCCTGAACATTCCATAAAGAACATACATACAATAGCTAACAGTGTTGTGCGAAAAACTGAACATTTAATTCGAACACTATATAATCCATTCTGATTGAATTTATATTTGATATTTTATTTATTTGTTTGCATGCTTTTTAATGGTTGCTGTATGTACGGTTACATTTGTGCACATATTGAACCTCGCCAATAATTTATCCTAATTTTGTCACAGTGGCATAATTTTTCACACATGTATTTACTGCTGTCATACTCCCTGCTGCACAACTATGAGTCTGAATTGTTTAATCTTGTAGTTTTCACATTGTTTAGATTTACCTGTTTGTGGTTGTGAGACTTTCTCTGAGCTTATTGACAAGGACATTTTTTTATAAGAGTGTAGGTAGTTTTACACACTCCTTCCATTTTCATTTGTGACAATCACAAAAACGTTGATGTGTGTTATCGTGACAATGGATTGTGATACAGCGCCCTCAACGTCGGATATTGAAGGTAAGCGAGAAGAGGCAGTGTTGGTTGGTACAGATCAGGCTAATAGTAAAGGTAAGACTGAATCTGAGTCTTTATTAAGTTTACGTAGATCAGAGAGAGTACCTAAGCTCACTGAGAAGGCGAGAGAAGGTAAGTTACAAGATCTTGAAAATTTATTTTGGCAAACCCATGATCGGCTGTTGTCGCGTGTTCCGCATCGTGAGCGATTGATGGATGAATCAATTGAATCGCTCAACACACTGATTGACGTGATAGAGGAAGAGCGCAATAAAATTATTAAATTACATAATCAAATTAGAGATCTGTCAAGCACTCCACGAAAAGATATTTTGATGGCCATTGATCGAGTAAATGCCTATGTAGATCAGACAGTTCTTCGTGCACAACGTGTAATAAAACGGGCTGAAATTTCGAGTATGGTGTCTATTGGTTCTCTGTGGTCATCTAGTTCTAAATCAGTCATTTCACATTGCTCACGGTCTTCTAAGCACTCAAAAGAAACAAATTCATCATCATTACGCAGGGCTTCCGCTGTTAAAGCAGCTGCCCTTCAAGCTGAGTTGGAAGCCAGAGAAGAAGAGGCTATTCAAGAGGAGGAGTTAAAGGTACTAGAGCTTGAGGAGAGTAAGCAAAGGGTTGCAGCTGAAGCAGAAATGCAGCGCAGGTTAAGAGAGCTTGATAGACAAAAAGTAGTAAGAGAGCTTCGTATTGAAAAGGCTAAGTTAGCTGTATATGAAAGGGAAGATTTATTTGAAAATTTTCCAGTTAAAAGAGAACCCAAGTTAGTGCCACCTGCAATGGTAGATACACATAGTACAGGAAAACCAATGGTGATAATGGAGCCACATAGCCCTCCTGTAGTTGAACAATCAAATAATGATAGACACAAATGCCAACCAGTATTATCTCAGGAGTATTGCCCAACTACAGCGCAGAATGACCTTAGAGCACTGACTGAGAGCTTGAAAGCGTCAGTGTCACTGAGTCGACTACCAACACCATGAACCATTGGTATTCACAGGAGACCCATTAGCATATCCAGATTGGATTACTTCATTTTCTACTTTAATCGAATCACGTAGTATCCCGCCTGTTGAGAGGATTCATTACCTGAAAAGGTACTTAGGTGGCTCTGCCAGAGAAGCGGTAGAGGGATGCTTTCTACTCAGAAGTGAAAGTGCATATGATGAAGTCAAAGCCACTCTTGAAGAAAGATATGGAAATTCTTTCACATTGGCCGAGGCCTTCAGAGATAAGATTGACTCATGGCCAAAGATTTCTGGCAAAGATTCCAAAGCCTTGCGATGGTTTGCTGACTTTCTAAAGCAGTGTCTCATAGCCATGAGAGTCACAACAGGTATGGAAGTGTTAAATGATGTTCGAGAAAATAGAAAAATGCTTCATAAACTACCAGATTGGCTTATAAATAGATGGAGTCGTATCGTTGCAAAAACAAAGAAATGCACAGGTATATACCCCTCATTTAAATCATTTGTTTCTTTCCTGCAGGAGGAAGCGTAAATTGCATGTGACCCGTGCACTTTTGTGGAATCTCTGAAATCTACCCTGCAGAAAGACAGAGATACACCTCAACGCTACACACCCAGAAACGGCAGGCCTGGAGGTCGCACTCTATCAACCATAGCAAAGCCAGAAAAAGATGACCAGTCCTGTATTTTCTGTAAGAAGGGTGGACATAGTATTCAAGAATGCTATACTTTTACAGCTAAGACCATGTCAGAGAAACAAGATTTCATCAAAAAGGGTGGTTATTGTTTTGGTTGTCTGCATTCTGGTCATGTGTCTAGGAAATGTCCAAATCAAAGTATATGCAAGAAGTGCAGTAAGAGACATCCCACTAGCTTGCATAGTGAAGAAAGAATAAACATAACCAAAGTACCAAGATCATCTCACAGTGAAACTACGGAACCCAACAGAACAAAAGATCAAGATCTCAAAGAAAGGACCAATACAAAATGTATACATGTGAAAGATGCTGGTTGTCATGGCATAGTTCGCAAGCGTGACAAATCACTTTCATCCACGATTGTGCCTGTATGGATCTCCAGCAAAGAAGATCCTAGTGAAGAGATGTTAGTATATGCACTACTTGATACACAGTCTGATACCACATTTGTATTGAATCATGCTGCAGAGCAGCTCAAAACAAAGTCAGATTCAGTTAGTCTTCGTTTAACAACCATGACTTCAAGTGATCATGTTATTCCCTGCAGAAAGTATCCCAATCTCAGTGTTCATGGATTTGATTCTGATGTAATGGTTACACTACCAACTGCATACTCATTAGAGTACATTCCAGTCAACAAATCGCATATACCAACTCCTGAGATTACAGAAAAATGGCCTCATCTCCACCAAATCGCTCATAAGATACATCCCATACAGAAGTGTGAAGTAGGTCTATTAATCGGTTATGATTGTCCCCAAGCCATTGCACCTCGTAACTGCATCACAGGAGTGGGAAATCAACCATTCGCCATAGAAACAGACCTGGGATGGAGCATTGTTGGGCAGATGACACAGGCAGAAGAGAGTGAAAATATTTTCGGTGTTTCACATAGAATACTTACCAAGGTAATACCAGACAACTTGGTACTTAGCATTAATGGTACTGGGGATGTACATAACTCTTATGAAAAGCAGTATACACCATCAGAGATTTGCTATGCTTTCAAGACTTCAACAAAAGAACAGATTGTCAGTCCTTTGAATGTAGTGAAATTACTTGAATCTGATTTTAATGAAAACAGAACTGATGAGGTGTTTAATATGTCTCAGGAAGATTTCCGGTTCATGAAGATTATTGAGAATGGTATTCACAAGGGAGTTGATGGGCTTTATACAATGCCACTCCCGTTTAAACATGATAGACCTAAATTGCCAGACAACAAGATTATGGCAGAGAATCGCTTGCAGTACCTTCGGCGTTGATTTAAGAGTGATCCTAAGTACTTAAATGACTATAAAGTGTTCATGCAGAGCATCATTTCAGCGGGCGATGCAGAATTAGTTGAGGAACAAGAAGAAGAAGTCGGACATGTCTGGTACATACCTCACCATGGAGTCTACCACCCCAAAAAACCTGGTAAAATACGTGTTGTATTTGACTGTAGTGCCAGATACAAAGGAACAAGCCTAAATGACCATTTATTGCAAGGTCCAGACCAAATAAATTCTCTTGTTGGTGTTCTTTGTCGCTTTCGGAATGAGAAGATTGCTATCATGTGTGATATCGAGAGAATGTTCCATAGATTCAGAGTAGCAGAGCAGGATAGAGATTTTCTTCGATTTCTTTGGTGGAAGAATGATGATATAGATTCTAACCCAGTTGTATACAAGATGAGAGTACATCTCTTTGGTGCAGTGTCTTCACCGGGGTGTGCGAATTATGGTCTTAAACGTATAGCTAAAGATAATCAACAGTATGGTAGTGATGTAGTCTACTTCGTTAACAGGAATTTGTATGTAGATGATGGCCTGAAAAGTGTTGAATCAGTGTCTAAAGCTATTAAACTCATTCAAGGTGTTCGTGATCTTTGTGCAGAAGGGAATCTTCGACTGCACAAATGTGTTTCCAATAGCAGGGATACTATGGAATCGATGCCTATCTCAAAGCAAGCACAAGGCATCAAGGACTTAGATCTTTCTTCCAGTGACCTACCAGTAGAAAGAGCCCTCGGTGTTGAATGGTGTGGAGAATCAGATTCCTTTCAGTTCAAACCAGCCATTAGAAATCATTCCCCTACACGTCGTGGTATCCTGTCAACTGTGGCTTCGATATTTGACCCACTTGGATTTCTTGCACCACTTGTCTTGTGTGGTAAACGTATTTTACAGGAGATGTGCAAGAAGGGTATGGAATGGGATGAACCCCTACCAGATAATCTTAGTACAAAATGGGAATCATGGCTTTCTGAAATTCCTAAGTTGGCTGATCTCAAAATCAGGAGATGCTACAAACCAGAAAGTTTTGAAGACTTGAAGAAAGTTGAGCTGCACCATTTTTCAGATGCTCGTCTTACAGGATATGGACAATGTTCCTATCTGAGATTAGTTGATGTTCATAGTAACATACATTGCTCCTTTGTCTTAGGAAAAGCAAGAGTCACTCCTCTGAAACCAGTGACTGTTCCCAGGCTGGAACTTCAAGCAGCAGTTACTTCCATTAAAGTCAGCAACTTCCTAAACAAAGAATTAGACTATGAAAACATAGGCAATTTCTACGGGACAGACTCAAAGGTAGTACTTGGTTATATCGGAAATAATGCACGTCGCTTCCATATATATGTGGCAAATCACATACAGAGAATTAAAGATGCTTCTGTAGCTGAGCAGTAGCACTACGATTACCAGTGCA